TGCCAGGAGGGGCAGCCTGGCCCTGAAAGGCCACCACGGCCACCCTGCAGCACCAGGGCACGCGGGTGGCACCGCTGCACGCCAGCAGCACGGCTCATCACGGGCTGCACGCCCATGGCACTCGCCGCTGGAGAGCCCCGTCCCGGGAGCCCCTCCCGTGCCCTTAGTGCTGGACCTCTGAGAGGGAAGAAACCTGCTCTGGTTTCTTTCCGTTGAGAGATGGTCCCAGAGGAGGTCTTTGCATCCCTTGGGAGCGGGCAGGGAAAAGCAGGCAGGGGTTCACTGACCTATGCCACACGTCAGGGGTGCTCCTCTATGCAGAAGGCTTTGTGGGCGCGTGGCCCCATCCCTCCTGCTCTGGGTCTTGCCCACCAAACAGCGCTGATAAGCACTGACAGGTCAGTCTGAGTACCCCCCTAGGTCCTAGGCAATGGCAGGAGATGAGGGACATTGGGAGTGTGGCTTGGCTGGTCTGCAGGCAGGGGCAAAGCCAGCAGACATGAGTGAGACCTCACCTGCTCCATCCCCCAGGACATGGGCAAGTTTGGCTCTGCTTCACCCATCCCTGGTGTGGGCTCAGGGTCTGGTGGAAGGAGAATGATTTCCAGGTGTCGTTGCCCTTTCCCATGGCCTGTCTATGGTCCCCTGCCTCTCTCAGATCCCTCACAGTGTCCCAGCTTTTCCTTCTCAGCTTGCCCCCTGGATTTGGCTTGTGCTACCCATCCCAGGAAGGTCCCCAGGCTGCAAGGTGATTCATCACCCTGTGGAAGCTGTGGCTCCCTGCCACACAGCCAGTTCACAGCATACTTGGGTGACACTGTGCAGCCTCCCCTGGCCCCGTCCTGGGGGACCTGCCACAGAGGAGGGCAGAAATCAGGGTCTGATCTTGCTGGGAAATTCAGTGCTAGGTTCTGCTACATTTGAGGGGTTGAGCAGGGCATCAATGATTTTGCAGAAAACAGGTCCTGTAGACAGGGGATGACATGAGCTCTGTGGGTCTTCATGTGCTGCAAGGTGGTGAGGGGACAAGGACAGGAGCCCTAACTCCTCACGCAGTGATCCAGAAAGAGAAGTCACTAGAAGCAGTAGCTGGCAGCAGGGACATGTACTGATACTCAGGATTAAACACATGCTTTGGTGAAAAAAGTCTGGTTTATGGCAAAATGCTGCAGCTCACTGTTCACCAGCGTCCCTTCTCTAGGGACAGTAGGTGATGGGATGGGTGTGCGGGTGCAGCCAGGTTGGGTGGAGGCTCTGGGTACCCATGCCTTGCAGAGGGGCAGAGGGGAGGACACAGACCATGGGACCTTCATAAGGCACTGGGGGATGCTGGGACTTGCAGAAGAGAGGGAATGGGTGTTGGTGGGCCAGCCTGGCTTGTGTATCTGCTCTAGTGTTGTTTATGGCTGCAGTGCAGGGTCCACTGACTGGCACAGCCCATCCCCTCCCTGTGTGTTCCACAGGCCTGGGGCAGGCCTGGTGCCTGGGAGGGCTCTTGCACAGAGGTGTTGCCCCACCAGTGTCCTGGGTCTTGCTGAAAGCATGAGGGAAGGGGGTTTACGCTGTGAGCCTTTCCAGACTTTTGCCTTGGGAAAAGGTCCATTTAGGATCTCTGTAGGACCAGAGGTAGACCAAGCTCCCCAACATGCACCTCCTTCTCTTCTCCCAGCCTCTGGTCCCCATCTCATCATCCTCCCAGTGAAGCCTCTGATGACTTGCGGAGTCCAGGACACATGCCCTGGGCTCTCATGGACATGAGTGGAGCCAGACACAGGGCTCTGACCTCCTTCAGGAGCAACCAGCCTGAGCCAGGCTGTCCTCACCTCTGCCAGGCCAGGAGTGGGGAGCAAAGGGGAGGCAGAGGAACATCCATCCCCCTGTGAAGGTGCCAGTGCTCGGTGCCTGCAGGAAAGGGCTGGTGATACCAACCCATTCTCCAGGACTCCTTGCCTGGGGGGTCTGAAAGGCACCAGGACTCTCAGAGAGAGAAGAGGAAGGAGTGTTTCTTATTTGCAGGGAGGAAGGGCAGCAAGAGGCTGAATCCAACCAACCAACCAACCAACCAGGTGGCCATGCCGTGCTCCTT